CTATACTTTTCCAGATATATTACTGGAAGTAAATTTTTGGCAAAATGGTGTGGTTATGTCATTCTTTCCCATCTTAATCCCATTCACTTCAAATCCATGACAGATAAAAAAGGCAAAGATATAACCAAACTATATGTAAAATGTTTCCATGTACAAGCAAAAGAACTGAAACACAAGTAGTAGGTGGCCTGGAGCCACGGAGCCCTACAGGTTTACTTCTTTCTCCATGAAGACACCCTTTCAGCTAATGAGAATGAAATACCCTAGAAAAAGACCAAATGCCTGATGTCGACGACAGAAGTGGAATTTCCTTATTTATAACAAAAAGGATGAACACACAATTATGGGCATGACTAGACCCATGACTATGGACAGATATCCAATATTAAAAAAAAACTTCAGGAAAAACTGAAGTAGTCTAGCAGCTGGATCTGTGGTATTCTCAATGTCACTGAGCAAACAAGCGTCAGTAAACTGAATTCAGGAGTAGAGAACTAGGAATTGGTGAGTGTAATTGTGAAGTTGGAAGACAAGGATGCATAAGCACATCAATAGAAAAAGGAAGAGAGGAGAAAACTTGTGGATTCAATTAAAATATGTTAACCAAAATGTTAACAGCTAGCAAGAGAAAGAATCCTGAAACAGAAAACCAAGAGAATAATCAGAACATAAGAAGGCCAGCACGGGCTGAAACAGATAAGAGGAAAAAAAACTTTAAAGAGAATATCAAAGAGCAAATGTCACACAGATTTTGTTAACATCCTACTGAAGACAAAGCACACAAAGGGTAGCCCAGGTGAGGTGGCTCTTGAACAATTCTAAATTTCTAGTGGCTTCAATCAAGGTGTGAATGGTGGAGATATAAGATTCAGCTGGATTTGGATATATTTTGACACATAAACAATGGGTTTTCTGGAAGATTTGGCACAGGTTATAAGAGAAAGAAGGGCTCAAGGGTGGTGCCAGTGAGAGGAAAGTACTCAGCAGCAGAAGAATGGGAGTTGCCATCAATGATGATGGGAAAAACTGTGAGCATATTCTATTTGTAGATTAATATCAGGATTTGGGTTCAAAATGCCTGTGTGGCATCTATGTGGGGATGTCAGTGGACAGATGAATATACACTTCTGGAAATCAAGGTAGAGGAGCTCTATGGAGACATAAGTTTGGGAGCCTTTAGCGGGTTGCTGGTCTACTGACTATGAGTCCAGATGCTTTTGCAAAGGAGTGATGTTAGCTACAGAGGGGACTGAATGCTGATCCAAGAGTCCCTCCCTTGGTGCAGGCTGGGGAGATGAGGATGATGACTGTAGGAGACAGAGAAATAGTAGCCAGTGACAGAAGAAGAAATCCAAAATACTGTAATGCTTAAAGAAGATAAAGAAAAGTATCTTAGTAAGAAATGAACTGAATCAGACATTCTTCCAAAGCAGAAATATAAATGGCCCACAAGCATATGAATATGTGCTCCACATCACTAATCATAAGAAAATGCAAATAAATACCCCAATAAGATAACCCTCACACCAGTCAGAATTGCCACTCTACAAAAGATGAGAAATAACAAGTTTTGGTGAGGATGTAGAACAAAGTGAAACCTCCTGCACTATTGGTAGAAATGTAAATTGGTAGAGCTCCTGTGAAAAGCAGTGTGATGCTTCCTAAAAGAGCTAAAAACAGAAGTTCCATATGACCCATTATTTCCACCTCTATAAAATTACCAGAAGAAAACAAAATATTTGCTTCAAAGATCTATGCACCCCTGTGTTTACTGCCATATTATTTACAATAGTGAAGGTATGGAAGCAATCAAAGTGTTCATCAATAGATGAATGGATAAAGAAGATAGGGTACATATACAAAATGGAATATTAAGCAGCCATAATAAAGAAAGAAATCCTGCAATTAGCAAAAATATGAGTGGATCCAGAGGGTAATATGATAAGTGAAATAAACCAGGTGGAGAAAGACAAATACCATATGAAATCACTTATTTCTGGAATCTAAAAACAAAATAAAACAAAAAGGATAACAGCAGATACAGGTGTAAGTGACAGGTGGTTACCATAGGGGAGAGGGGATGAGCGGAGAGAGTGAAGGGGATAAAGGGGCACAAAATTCTTAATCAAAATATAAGTTGGTGAAAGGGATGGTAGCATAGTATGGGTAGTATAGCTAAAGATGCTGAAACATCTTTCTATGTTGACAGATGTTAAGTCTTCTAGTTGGCATGAGGATTTAATAATGTGGGTAACTGTTAAACCACTGTGTTTTCTATTTGAAACCAATATAAGATTGTATATCAACTATACTTCAATAAAACAATAAACTGAATCCATGTTGCTGATAACTGTTAATGATAGGTTTGAGAATTAAACAATGAGAACTTTTCAAGGTAGAGAAGCTTTATGACTTTTTAAGAATCCATGTATGGTCCAATTATTGTTACTATGGGGAGGTAAGAGAAAGGGCCTACTGTTCTACCACGTTGATGAGTATCACTCTCTGAGCAGATTCTAATATATGCTCTGTAATCAGTATGGAATAATATGAACAGTTATTTCACTCCCTTTTAGAATTCCATTACTGATGTTTCTCAATTTCATACTCATAGCTTCAAACTATATATCTATATTTTCAACCTTATGTGTTATAAATAAAAATTGTAGGGTTTATAGTCAATAATGTTGCAATTACTATAGAAGTGGGTAACCTGTGATGCAATATGCCATTGTGGTAATAACCAAAAATAAAAACGGGACTTGTTTGTTAATGTAATAAATTTAGGTTTAGCTGACTGATGTGATACAATAATTAAGATATAGCATTTGGTGCAGGGAAGCTGGCCTATTGTTCTGAGAACAGCATCTGGAAAATTAGAAATGCATACATGAGAGGTGTACTTATTACCAACTGGCATTGGAGTGAATTAATGGGCTGTTCAATAAAAAGCTGTCAAATGTAAAAACAAATTTGGATTCCTATCTCATATCAAACATAAAAATTAATTTGACCTTCATGCCTCAAATGGAAAAGGCAAAGTACCAGTCCTTTAGACCGAAGTAAGTAGGGGTTTCAACATCGAGACCTACTGAGCCTCAATCATCAGGGAAAATATTGACATATTAAATTATTTCAAAATTCATCACAATAATGCATTACAAACACTGTAGTAACGGACATGGAAAATGAGCCACTCACCTAAAGAATAGATTTGCAATGCATAAACTCATAAAGGATGGCTAAGCAATTGAATAAAGAACACATGAATTAATAAGAAAGACATAAACATCTCAATGGAAATATCATAGACATGGATTTTAATGGAAATATCACAGGCATTGGCTTTCACACAAGGGGGAAAATAAATGGCCCACAAGTTATGAAAATGCTTACTCTAATAATAGCAGAAATATAAATTAATTAAATGATATTTTACAGCCCTTTATCAGAGTGGATGAAAATGTTCTGGTGATGGTGTAGAATAGCAGGACCATATGATGTGAGGGTAACTTGGTCCCAATGCTCAGCAACGCTCCTTGAAACTGCAAAAGGAGGAAAGATACATCCCAATAGCCAATGATCCCATTCCAGCTATAAACCCATCTCTGATGTATGCCAGGAGACACAGAAGAGACTATTCAGACAACTTTATTCATAAGAGGTAAAAATATCTGCCAAATATTCATCAACACTGTAAAACCTGTCTTTTTTATTGTAACAATATATAATACTAATAGAGAGCATTGAAAATGAACAAATATCTGCTAAACCCAGCAACATGATTGAATTCTCAGGACTGCAATGAGGAGCATAACAAGCAAGAAGTGATATTCATTCATTAAGTTGAAACTTTAAGAAGGTCAAAAAGAAGTTAACCTTTGTAACACATTGTATATATGCACATGTAAAAGCAATAAAATAAGTATAAAGTTATAAAAATGACATTATTGTAGGGGAAAACTCCACAATACGGCACTTAAATGTTGGTTGCATCAACCCAGTTTCTCTGCACAGTTACGTTGCTCCTGCCTTTTCTCTGGGTCTGGCTGTATATCTGTCTATATTATAAGGATATGTGTGATTACATTCACTGTCTGTCCCTCCTGAAAATCCAGCTGAATGTCTTCCACTGAAATGACTCATTTCTCTAAATAAGTACCACTCACTCTGATGATACAAATTAATACTTATATAATAATACTAAATCATATTAAGGAAAATTGGGATGTGGCCATATATTTTGAAGAACACCATCCAACCTATGACACATGTCTTCTGTTGACTCTGTGGACAGATCTTGTATCAACTGACCAAGGGAAGGACAATCAGGTTTCTGCCTCTGGGCATTATGTCCATGAATGATACCTGTATCTGCTTTCCACTGATGAGTCTCAAATATCACACTATCATCTCAAACCACCAGAAAAATCTAATTATATCAATTTTATAGTTAATGAAAATTAGTGTAGTGGAGGCTAAAGTAGCCTTGGAAGGGTATGTTTTACAAATGACTAGTCTGAGTACTAAATTGGGGTTAGAAAGGCTAGCTGCCTTGCCCCGCTGCACGCCTAAATCTGGGATGCAACCGGCATGGTCGTAACCACAGATCAGACAAAAGCTAGTCTCTAGAAACGACCACAGCCTTGCTTCAAAGCTTGCCCTATCCTAACCACCTTCTACAATGATCTGTGTTTGGGGGTAATCTGCAAAAAAGTCACTAAAACTAGAATCCCTGACTCAACTTTGGTTGTATGGGTCCAGAGGAAAGAAACTGATTTTAGAAAACTGAAGTCATTCTCAAATGTCCTGTAGCTGGACAAAAAGTATCAGCACATTTCAAGCCCATTTTGAGATGCATGTGGCCATCATGTGATCTGATCCTCTTAGGGCCACATGGTGGTGGAAAAACAGGCACGTTGCTCTGTAGAGTCCTGTCACTTTGACTCATTCAAGAAAAACAAACCCAAAGCAGGTGACATCATAAAAGACAGATGTACCCTACTAATTATTTTCCTCAAGGCTCCCTTCATGTCCCTGTTCCTCAGGCTGTAGATGAAGGGGTTCATCTGGGGAACCACAGTGTACATCATTGAGGCCACTGCAGCCTTCCTGGAAGAGTCAATAACTGCAGAGCTAATGTACATCCCAAAAGCTGTCCCATAGAACAGGGAGACAACTGAGAGGTGAGATCCACAGGTGGAAAAGGCTTTATGCTTACCCTCCACTGACGGCATTCTCAAAATGGAAGAGAGAATTTGAGTATAAGAGAAAATGATCCCAGATACACCCCCAAATGGGCTGCCTACAAGATATATCAGGAAGTTATTGGTGAGGGTATCAGAGCAGGCCAGCTTGATGACCTGAACATGTTCACAGAAGAAATGGGGAATTTTTAGGTCCCTGCAGAAGGACAGCCGCAGCACCATCAGACTGTGGAGCAGGGTATCCATGATGCTAAGGAGCAGAGAGAGCAGAATCAGCATAACATAGGATCAGGAAGTCATGATGACCGTGTACCTCAGTGGATGGCAGATGGCAACATAATGGTCATAGGCCATTGCTGGAAGGAGGCAGTTTTCAAAACCATCAAAAAATAGGACAAAACCAATCTGTGCAATGCAACCAGTGTATCTAATGTGCTGATTCTGTGCTTGGATGTTCACCAGCATCTTGGGGATGATAGTTGTGCTTGTACAGATGTCAGCCAGGGACAGGATGCAGAGGAAGGAGTACATGGGGTGTGGAGGTGGGGGTCAGAGCTGATGGCCAGGATGATGAGCAGGTTCTCCAGGATGGTGACCAGGGACACAGACAGGAACAGCTCGAAGAGGAAGGGCTGAAGTTCTGGATTGTCTGTCAATCCCAGGAGGAGGAATTTTAGAACATATGTGTGATTCATGTTGTTGATGAACCTGATATAAAAGAGGTAGTGAAAAAAAAAAGTTCCTGGTCTAACAGCAGCAACATCAACTGGGAACTTTTTAGAAATGAAAATTCTTGGAAGTACTGAAGACTTCCTGTGGATAAACTCAGGGGTGAGGACAAGAAATGTATGTTTCCACAAGCCCTCCAGATGAATTTGAAACATGCTGATATTTGAGAATCAGTGCTTAAATCTAAAAAGCAATACCCTCTATGTATATTGTGAATGCAGATGAATATTCAGATCTGTCCCTCTGCTAATTTCTCCCTCCATCACCGTCTCTCACACTATTTCTTTCCTGTCTTCCCATTACTGACCCAAATTTTTAGAGATCACCAAATCCATTGTACACATTGTGCCAAGTGCTGAGACTGATACCAAGAATAAGGCACAGCATTTCCTTTAGAAATATCCCATGCCTTCAAACAAACAGAAGGACAAAAACAATGTCATGAAATCTGCGTCTAGAACAGTGGTCCCAAATAGTTGGCCTTATTGAGAATCATCTGTAGGACTGGTCACATTACATAAGCATTGGTACATGCTGTGATCCCATTTACCCATGAGGACACTTGGGTAATTTGAGGCTAGGTCACGGACAGGAGGTACCATCGGTGCACAGCAAAGACTGGGTCTCAGTTTAGACCATGTGTCTGTTGAGTTGACTCTCTTGAACAGTCTCTCTTCATACCCCTGATAACACAGAACCAACCTTTATCATACAGACTTCATAATTTCCTTTAACATTTTTAACATTTTCATTCTTAACAATAACTGAAATATTTTCTATTTCTTGTAATATATGTCTATGTCTCCCATGAAGTAGCATGTCAAGGCATCCATCCAAGCATACGCTCTGCTCCTGGCAAAGAGAAGAAATGCTGCTCATAAACCTGTAGCTCGTAAGACACCCGGTTGAAACGGTCCTCATCGGCCGTAGTGGTTCATTCTACAGGAAGCAGACACTGTGTCGGGGAGATGCTCTGCCTCATCCTGAGAGGATGTCTTCCCCTAAGGTGACAGTGTCATATCGTTAAGAAAAGCAGTTAAATCTGAGAAAGAATGAACTGTATTGGCATCTATGAAAATAAGAACAATCTGTAGGTCCTCAGAAGACTGAGACAAGATAATGCAGAAATACATGTTATTTACAAGCTGATCGAGTGACCTACCGGATGGTCTCTGTGAAGCCATGGTCCTTGTTCTCCTGGGGAGCCTGCAGTGACCACGACAACCCTTATCATTTGGAGGATTACTTGAACTCAAACAGTGATTTCAGTCCAGACCAGCACTTGCTTTGTGAACTGGGAACATTGTCTCTGCAGAGGCCTCGTGTTCTCACTTGTGTAACGGGAACCCTCATCAGACCTTATGGGGATGTTGCAATGATGAGCAATGAATAGAAACACATCCAGCATGGCAGTCAGCACAGGGCACCTCCATCCTCACATTTCCTACCATGGTTCTCCTTTTCTGCCATGAACAGCAGCTCCTGGCATGTGTCAATCATCAGAAGAAAGCAATGGGCTCGTCCAGTGGAAGAAAACAATCAAGAAGAACATCCCACCTGTGGCAGCTGCAAATTTAGGGGAAGAGATTAAGAGCTGAGACTCCAGTTGGGAACCTTTATCATGTAAGAAAGTAATGAAGGTGATATCGGTGATGTCATTATTCATCTGGCAAGAACAGGGGATGTTTTACACAGCAATTTAAATGACTTAAATATCAAAAATAATTATACATTGGAATGAACACAAATAAAAAAAACCTACAGGAGAAAAAACAGATATGACAGAAATCCTATAGCATGAGAAATTTAAAAATATTTCTTGATCCTAAACACATGTATTTATTTTTACTATGAATCATTCAAGTGAAAGAAAATTACAAATACACCAGTGGAGATCTTGGTACCAAGCAGTCAAAATTATCAAATTCACTTATATCAGCATTACTATGTCTTTTTATTTCAATATTGAATACAAATATATTTGAAGTCCCTTTATCATGTATGTTTTTATTGCAATGATTAATACAAATGTATTTGAAGTCCTTATATCATGTATTTATACAATCTTGATTCTTTTACTTACACAAGGAACATGACACTAACCTGATATACAGGATTTCTCTGCACTTTTCACTATATTTAATATTATGATACCATAAAAATTGTACTGTTTTGAATTTCAAAAACTTTTTGTGAATATGACCACACCAGATATGTCATTTACAGTTGGCTCTCTCATCTAATTTATTTTTTGATTAATTTGGTATTTAGTCCAACTGCATTAATATAAAAACCAGACCATAATCAACTCTATTTAAATTAAAAAAAAAGAAAAAGAAAAAAATTTGAAATAAAAAAACCTCAGGAATTATCTTACTATAGTTACATCACAATTTATTTCTCCATGTCCTAATAGGAATTATGCTTACTGCCTCTTTCTATAAATATAATTGTGAATGCAGATACAGTCCAAAGTCATGCATGAGGGAAGCCATTGTGTTCAAGGTAGTATGCCTCTAGAAGTGGGAGAGGGGAGAGGGTAATTCAACAGGGTCACCTTCTGTAGGCATATTATTATGTTATTTTATATAAAATCTTGAAGGCAATACAATACAATGTCAGTATTCATTCATTCCGTACTGTCGTGAGTGAGGGGTAGGCATATGCCTTTTAAAAATCACAATATCTTTTCTTTGTGATGCTGATGTACTAAGTAATAAAAAATAAAAGAAAAGGAAACAAATAAGAAATAACATTGTTTCTGCTGCTTTTACTTGAAATATTTGGTAGTTCTTTAAAGAACAGGCGAGACTGGAGAGGGACTAGAAATCCTAGTTTCTTGGGCGAACCTCTTATTCCCCAGAGTGGCTATGGGGACAATACAACAGGTGTTCTACACAACCATGTTATCAAGAACCAGGAAAGAGAATCAAAGGTAAATATCAGCAAAGCATTTCCATGTCACCATCCCAGGAATTGAAGTAAATATCAGAAAATTTCACAGAAATCCTGTCTGAGAAGGGGCATATTTTGGCTCTGGAGGAAATGCACCCTAGAGAATGGGGTTAGAACACCAGGAGAATGAAGGCCACGGAGTACTGGTGCGATGTGGGATATGCAAATCCCATATATGGGATGTCCAGGGTGGTGATAGACAGTGAGGCTAGAGCTCCATGGCCAACTGCGTTCTGATCATTTTTTTTTCCTTTCAGCTTTCCTAGTTAAATGGAAATCTTATTTTCTTTTATTTTTTACATGGTGAACAAATTCTTACATAGTGAATAAGTTCTTACATGGTGAACAGTACAAAGGCAGTCATCACAGAAACTTTCGGTTTTGATCACGCATTATGAACTATAAACAATCAGGTCAAATATGAATATTCATTTGATTTTTATACTTGATTTATATGTGAATCCTACATTTCTCCCTTATTATTATTATTATTATTTTTTAAAATAAAATACTGA